TGCAACAATGTTGCAATCGGTAATTAGAGGCTCTCCTAGGTGGCCGTCGTTCGACTACCGACCACGCGGCGGTTGGCCATCTTGGATCCTTTGTCTCCCCAGCGGTGTTTGGTCGTCAAGCGCATGGAATTGAAAACGGCTACTCGACGGCGCGAACACCGCTGGGCTTCTAGGCCGTTCAGGAGCTCCGGTCTTTCGCTATTAGAGTTCCCCCATCGGTGTTCGGTACTTTGGGGCGAACTCAATAGCAAAGTGTTTTTCATGCGGCGTTCGGTTGTTTTAGCTGGGATCTGAGCGGTATTCTCACGAACTGTGCACTCAGACCCCAGCTATCTACCGAACGTCCATTCGTTAAAATAGACCAAGTATTGCAAAAGTTATATATTTTAAAGTGAATTGCCGGTTCTGCTGCAAGGGGGGATAATCCACTTATCGGTATATTCCAGTGGGATTATCCCTCTCATGCAGCAGTGCCTGATAGGAGGAATGCCCCAGAATGTTAAGTCCCCCATGTAGTCCCCTATTGTGTTACCCCTGCTATGTCAGTAGGGAAACCCCTTGCATGGGGACTTGCATAAATACTGGATGCTGTGAATAAAAACCTGAGTTGACTCCCAGAACTGTGTTTCGTCCGGTTACTGGGGGATTTGGGATATTGCCTGACTTTTCAGCGCTTGACTGTGGATTACCTTCTTTACCAGCGGAGTTCGTGGGATTTATTATTGCTGCTCCGCTACAGCTTCCCTCCTCCGTTAGACGCTCACCCAGTCTCCACTCCTTCAAAAAATCTTTAAAAACCCACTTCTTCATAAAAGCGTATCAATTAAACTGTTAATAGCTCCTGACTGATTCCTCTTCTGCAACTGTCACTAGTCTAATACTATCCTTACCTTTTTGTGTCATTTTACCCCACTCCCTCTAGGATGTAAACTCATCGAGCAGGGCCCTCAACCTCTCTGTTCCTGTGTGTCCAACTTGTCTGGTGACAACTACATGTCTGTTCGTCCACCCATTGTAAAGCGCTGCAAATTTGACGGCGCTCTATAAATATCATAATAATAATAATCTGTTTGCATCGTTAGTATCACCTGACACAGAAAACAGGCTCTCACGGATGGCACCCACCGACTTCCCAAATCTCTGAGGGCACTGATAGCAGCCCCCAGAGATGTCCTGCTCCACTTCCTCTCTTTCACGGACAAGCTGACGATACAGGAGGTACTCAAGACCAAAGTCCTATTTGAATTCGAAGGCATGCAACTTACCTTCCTGCAGGACTTATGCAGAGCCACTCTAGATTGGAGGCGCTCAGTCCAAGGCGTCACAAAGGCAATCAGGGAGGCTGGTATCAACTACAGATGGGGACCACCCCACACCCTTACTGCCAGCAAATACCGCAGCTGGGCCTGGCTCAGGAACCGGCCTCCACATCGGCTAAACACATATCCTGGGACGTACATAATATTGTCCCCTTTGTACCTGTCAGGAATGGATGGGATCCTACACGCAGAGTGTAATAAAAACATAACATTACCGGACCTTAGAATGGCTGGGTTGGCATCACAAGGCCAGAGAATAAAGGTCAGGGAAGCCAGAAATCAAGAACAATGAGGGTACACAAGCCGAGTCAAAGGGTAATAGAAAGAAGGGTAGTCAAACAAGCCAAAGTCAAAACCAAGAATACACTACTAAAGTACAACGCACTATTGGGACTAAATAGAACCACAACAGGTCAATTGTCTAGTTCAGAAGTTCAAATTTGAACGTTTTGGCAGGTAGTGACGTCATCAGCATCATGGCGTCGGCGCATACCCATACCGCGTCATAAAAAGGGGGAATTATCGCGCCAAGCGCAAGGATTACTGGAAGAAGACTTCAGTGTGTGGCAGATCCTGTGCCCACACAAAAGGTACCCTGGCAGTACCACGCACAGGAGCGGATACAGGATGAGGAACCTCCTGCAGATGAGACAATGCCCACAGGGCGATGTGCTGCCCTCAGGAAGCAAGTTCTATACTCCGAACTCTGTCGAACCCACACGTTCTATTCCCCCATAATGGCGGCCTGTTTTATGTACTTTTCAGTTTAGCTCTACCACATTTTATTTTCCAAATTTTTCTATTAAGTTCGTACCTTATATACCACTATCTGCACGCAATAACTTGAGAGCAGCGCCAACAGGCTCTCACACATCTGCTCCCCCTAATGATGCCTGGGGGTTACCAGGCAGAGTCACTATATCGGCTTAACTTACACTAACAAACACAGGTCTACACCATAGGCCCCCATGCCTCTTGGCGCTACACGATCCCCCCACCTACCTCTAAGTAGGAGTTGCTTGGTGGCTCTGACAGTATAGCGGCTCTCCAGGTCCACAACACGCTTAATTACTCTAAATTTATTATGGCCATCAGCTGATTCTACTACGGCCACCTGGATGACCCCACAAGACACCCCATGGACCCTTAACAATTATGAACAGCACGCTATACTGTTAAAATAAAATAAAAGCCTAACGTAGGATTTATTATTATACCATACCACGTTATCAGTCCTCACACACAATGGTTCTGATGTGTACCAGGCCCTAGGAATCCTAATTTTTGACATTCTCCACACGTCACTGTCCATGTCGAATGTCGTTAAATATAAAAGGCGCCGTGTAGTATCAATGCTCACCAAAATGTACAGAAAAGTTGATCAATGTATTTTTATGCTGTTGGGGCATTATAGATCACACTGTTATGTTACCATGCACAACAAAATGAAAAAAATATTCTCCCACTCTTTCCAATTCCTCTATTCCAGCTAAATTTTGCACCAACTACCACAACTTTTTGTTTAGCAAATAAGCTACACAGACTGCACTCTCCTATGTGAGGGACCTCCTATCCTAATCAACCTCTGGGACTTCCTCTCTGATTAAGTTGTTATGGTGCCCGGAGTGTCCCTTTAATGCCAGCAAGTACATGTTTGTTGTGTCAGTTCATTGAACAATGCAGGGAATATGCTTGTGGTGCTTAAAGTATTTCATTATATTATTATTTTTTTAATAAAAGTTTCCCTGTACTCATTGTATTTTCTACTCTTTATAATAGGGAGACACTGTAGGTGCCAAAGGGGATGTTCTGTTGTTGGCTTTTTCATCATGAATCAGTGCACAAGTCATTTGCCCTGCCTCAACCTTCAAGGTCCAACATCTAGCTCTGCTGGGTCAGAACCAAAGCATATACCTTTTCGAGGACATCAGAGAACTATTGAAGGTGAAAAAAAGACAATTCCAAAGGTTAAAAGAAGGAAAACTAAGAAAGAGCTGGACGCCAAGTTTCATAAATCAGAAATGGAAACTTTTCGTAGTAAAGGGTCTCGAAGGTTGCTGAAGAAACAGGACTTGAGTCGTAATCCATTCTGCTCAAGAGTTGTCCAATCTTCGGTACAAAAGTGTGCATGCAACTCAAATCCAGTCATCATAACCCAAAACCGTCTGAGTCATCACCAGGGAATGTTTAATCGAGAGGTGAAATCCGTTGATATTGGGAGACTTCTGACCAAAGAACCTGAGAACAAGGATAATGCAGAGTTAGACCTTCAGAAACATAGATCCAAGTCAGAAGGAAATATAGGTCAGGATTGTAGTTCTTGTTCAACAGCCTTACCACCAAGAACTGAATCACAACAGAATGATAGCATTATCTCTCTAAAATCAAGAGGGCCAAAAACACCTATCCAGCCCATCGAATCTGTCACAGACATAGTGCAGAATGAGGAAAAGACCCCACTATCTGGACAGGAAGGCAATGTCCATCGTCCCACCTCGTGGTCAAGCAGTGAGACAGAGCTTCCTGAAGTGGAGACAGAGGCTGCTCCTGTTTTTGAGGTTGCAGAGGAGATCTTTAAAATGCTTGACACCCAGGTACTATTCCCAGGCCGTAACCTAGTAAATGAAATTCAGAAAGCTATAATGGAAAATATGAGACAGAATCATGAAAAGGACACCAATCGGCCTGCAGTACCTGCACAAAGTGAGCTTGATTATGGCTTCAAAGGTAAGCCTTTTGCATGAGTTACATTTTTCATTAAAGGGCAACTGACACCAAGTTTTTACTTATTGTTTAAAAGTTTATTACATTTCATGAAACTTAATTATATGTGTCTTTAAATTAAGTATTGATTTTTTTTGAGAAATTATAATTTTTTATTTTTTTTAAATTCTTTATTTTGCAAAAGATCAATTGTACATTCACATGTGGGTAAACAGAGTACAGTAAGAAGTGCGATAGACATAGTGCTTTCAGTTACATGTCAATCCGGCACATTTGCTGTTTCCTGAGCGATAGTAAAACATGTAGCTGTTTACATACTCTGTGCTATGCTTAGTCTGGTGTGCACGGGACATATGTATGAAGTACATATTGCTATTATGCCACAATCGATCATCATTTTTATAGGGAGATTAAACATTAACCATAAAAGACGAACCCATGGCACAGGAGAGGCTCATACATTTCAGACATTTCTACCCCTCTAGGGTCCGTGCACCAGGTTAACCTTCCGCCTCCTCTTTGTATCGTTCCCAGAGGTCCCATACCTTGTTGCGAACTCTTGAGGTTGCGGACCATTGAGGTTAGCTTATCTGTAAGGTAGTTATCCTTGATTTTGGTGGTTACCAATGTGAGAGTGGGTACCCAAGGGCACGACCACTTCTGCGCCAAGGCCCTACGATCTGCCAGGTATATCATATTGAGTAACTTCTGCTCGGGTCAGGTAAATCCCTCTGTTGGTTTGGATAGGAGGTAGGCCCACGGGTCTGGGCTTAATTTTCTTTGCATTATTTTAGAGCTAAGTTGTGTTACTTGGGTCCAGTATGCCTGTATTAAGGGGCAGGACCATACCATGTGGATATCATTTCCTCTTTCACCACAGGAGCACCAGCAGGTGTCTGTAGGGGTTAGCTTCATGTGAAACTATTTCACTGGGGTGGTATACCATCTAAACATTGTCTTAAATGATTGCTGGAAGGTTACGCAGATGAAAGACTGGGCAGTCGCCTCCCAGATGTCCTGCCAAACTGTACCCTCTAATACCTCCCCTAGATCAGACTCCCATTGGATGGTATGTCGGAGGTTGCAGTAAACTTCTTTGGTAGTAAGAGGTGAGAGTTCTTTGAATCTCTCATATGTGACTATTTGATTGTCTACGTAAAGGTGGATATATCTTTGGAGACCTGTGTGTTCTATTTCTTTGAAGTCTCTAGCTCTCATTCCTGGTGGGAAGGCCCTGTTCCTGAAGTCTGCTGTCATTGGGGAAGGGAATCTACTAAGGGAGAATTATAGAGGTGAAATATAGTATACAGTATAGTGAGCTCACACCCTCACACTATAGTGAGCATTCACCCTCACACTATAGTGAGCTCACATCCTTACACTATAGTGAGCTTACACTCCAACACTCTAGTGAGCTTACACCCTAACAGTATAGTGAGCTCACACCCTCACACTATAGTGAGCATACACCTTCACACTATAGTGAGCTCACATCCTTACATTATAGTGAGCTTACACTCCAACACTATAGTGAGCTTACACTCCAACACTATAGTGAGCTTACACCCTCACACTATAGTGAGCATACACCCTCACACTATAGTAAGCTTACACACTCACACTACAGTGAGCTTACACCCTCACACTACAGTGAGCTTACACCCTTACACTATAGTGAGCTTACACCCTTACACTATAGTGAGCTTACTTCCTAACACTATACATCCTACATCCTAACTTACTATCCTAACACTATAGTGAGCTTACACCCTCACACTACAGTGAGCTTACACCCTTACACTATAGTGAGCTTACACCCTTACACTATAGTGAGCTTACATCCTAACACTATACATCCTACATCCTAACTTACTATCCTAACACTATAGTGAGCTTACACCCTCACACTACAGTGAGCTTACACCCTTACACTATAGTGAGCTTACACCCTTACACTATAGTGAGCTTACATCCTAACACTATACATCCTACATCCTAACTTACTATCCTAACACTATAGTGAGCTTACACCCTCACACTACAGTGAGCTTACACCCTTACACTATAGTGAGCTTACATCCTAACACTATACATCCTACATCCTAACTTACTATCCTAACACTATAGTGAGCTTACACCCTCACACTACAGTGAGCTTACACCCTTACACTATAGTGAGCTTACATCCTAACACTATACATCCTACATCCTAACTTACTATCCTAACACTATACATCCTACATCCTAACTTACTATCCTAACACTATAGTGAGCTTACACCCTCACACTATAGTGAACCCTAACACTAGAGTGAGCTCGGCTTCCATATTTTCATACCTAACCCCATCTACTCCCCTCTCTTTTCTAGTTTTCTCCCTGAATATATTCATTTTTGTTACACCTATGTTACTGTTAATTCTCCAACAGGACTCCAGATTTTATTGGTGCTCTCACAACTAAATTATTGGAACTCGCTCTATATCTGTAGCGTTACGTCTCTGTAGTTGCTGAGCAACTGCCATTGACCCTTTCTGCTGGGAGCCATCTCAGTATTACAGGCTGAAAGGAAAGTGGGTCACATTTATTTCAGGGTCACAATAAACAATGGAAGCTATCAATAAAAGCTGTTTCATTCAGCTTATCGGTGTAAGTAGGCCACTTGCTACTATTCTGATAAGCAGTGGATAGAATTATCAAAAAGCAAGGAAGCCAGACTAGAGGCGTCAATCCAAAAAATGTCGGAAAGCAGATTCTTTATATAATAGACCATTTAATAGTGTTAGACTCGGTACTAGATATAATTTCTAGTGTATTTTCCTTGGCACTTTCCCAGGATGCCTAACATGTAGTTTACAAATAGTTGCATTACCAAATTTAGCTATAAGTATCTAAAAATGATAGAAAAGTTCTCTCTATATGGTGCGGCCCTAAAGCCCTGACCAGATACTTCCCAACATTTGCATACGGTGCCTTTCGATGCCAGTGCAACCTTGAAGATGCTTCAAATCCAAATTAAAAAAAACAATCAAAAGCTTGGTTTGGTTTTTGCTTTATTTTTTAAACTAAAATCTAACTTGTACTTGAGAATGCATGTCAAACATGAATGATATTGTAACTGATATTATGATATTTGCAGGACAGTCAAAACCCTGAAGGGTTTCCATAGTGTTAGGAATACAAACCTGTAGTGCCCTCTGGTCCTTCCTCACAAACAGCTCCATCCAGCATGGAAAGAGTTAAAAACCCTTTAATCACTTAACTGATTCCAGTGCCAATGTCCCTTGGTACTGGGTCGGCGATCCGTGTTCTCTGACGTCATACGACAAGGGTGCCTAATGCACATGCGCAGCGATCACTGCAAGCACATTAGGCTCTGATGGTGGATGTCCTCATGCAGAGCGTGAAGACGTCCAGCGTTATTAAACCAACCTAGAGTCCGTTAGGATCTAATGGCTGACTGATTAACATGTGTGCTGCAAAGTAATCATTGCAATGTCTCTAATACTTATTGTAACGGATCACCTGGCACAAGTGATGAAGGGCACTTCATCACATATCTCCCCTTTGGGGGTGAGACTAACCAAGTATCTGACCTTCTGTCGGTCAGTGCCTAAGTTAGTCGATCCACCCACCCACAATAAGCAAGTACAAGAGTAGCCAACCCACAACAAATGGTTACTGCACCTGGTGATTCCTCTGGTGGAACTAGGCAACATGCTGTGGGGACTTGGGGGGCAGAGGTCAGCTGTGCTCTGCCCCGATGCCAGCGCTTCTGCTAGGGTAGCCGGGACGAAACTTGGCTGGGGAGGGGAGACATCACCTACCTCCTCCTCCTGGTACTCCTGCGAGGGTAGTTGGGGATCTGGACCGACCACCAAACACATGCTGCCGCTGGAGAGGGAGACCAACCGTCTCCACTCCCATAAAATTGTCCTGCTGCTGGGGAAAGAGACTGATTGTCTCTGCTACCTGTAGAACACACTGCTGCTGGGGGAGAAGAACGACACCTTTGGCCCCATGGGATGCATACTGCTGCTAGGGAGGGAGATCGCTTGTCTCCACTCCCAATACTATACTCTGCTGCTGGGGAGAGACGCCGGCTGCCTCCTCTCCCTGCAATTTACATTGCCGCTGGGGCATGAGACCGGTTGTCTCCTCTCCCTGAAACTCACCCTGCCGCTGGGGAGTGAGACCGATTGTCTCCACTCCCTGTAGGGAACACTGCCTCTGGGGAGAGAGGCCGGCTGCCTGCTCTCCCTGCAGCTTACACTGCTGCTGGGGAGAGAGACCAGTTGTCTCCTCTCCCTGAAGAACACGCTGTCGCTGGGGCAAAGGGACAGAATACTTTGCCATCTCTGCCCGCCATTCTGCGCTCTCCTGCAGTTGCTTGGTCAGTAGTTTCCTCATGGACTGCACATATTTCTCCGCTGGGTTGGGTGGGTTGGGTCCAAACAGAGCCAGCCGCCTCTTCAGTATAGCGTCAAACCTTGCTTGACTGTAACAGAGTGCCATGCTTGCTCGGTGTCTCCAGGATGCTGCTCCTCACACTAGAAAGCCATCCCACCGCTTGCCACCAATGTAACGGATCACCTGGCACAAGTGGCGAAGGGCACTTCATCACACTTATAACCAGGGGTCAAGTCCTGGGGAAAAAAGTGTGGGAACTCACCCAAGATTCCTGCCCCCCCCCCAAAAAA